CTCGGCCCTCCAGCCCTCGGCGAGGAACTCCGCAACTGCCTCCCCTCGGGCCTCGGCCGCAGCTCTCTCCTTGGCGGTTTGGGCTTCATCGGCAGCTTTTTTCGCCGCCACGGCAGCAGCCCTCTCGGCCTCTGCCTTGCCCTCGGCTATGCCGTCAGCCTTGGCCTTCTCCGCTGCCGCCTTCGCCTCCCGAAGGGCCTCCTCCAGCTGGGCAGCATGCTTCACCGCCTCGGAGTTCTTGCGGATCAGCCCCTCCATCTTCTTATCCTGGGCAGCCTCGTGAAGACGCCTTTCCTCGCACCTCCGGGCTTGTTCCCCGAGGGCTATGCAGGCCTGCAAACAACGATCAGAGGGGTTAGATTATTCCTCAGGAAAAAATAATACTAAACTGATAAGATAAGGAAAAAGGAAGCAGATACTTACAGTGAGCGAGGACCGGAGGATCCTGTTCTCGAGGGCATCATCATCGTAGGTCTCGAAGACTTCCCTGTCCATCTTCGAGGTGATGCCCCGCAGGAAGGCCCTCGGCTCGGCAGTGCCGTGCATCAATGAAGCGCCGGGGGCAAAAGAGAGCTGGCGGATCTCCCGGGGTGCTTCCTCCGGGGATGGATTCACCAGAGCCTTCGGGGTGACCGAGGCTAGGGGCCCATCAGCAGCGGGCGCGTCATCAATAACTATGAGGGGGCCGCCCCCTCGACGGCGCCCACGGCGGCTTTCTGCTTCTTGGTAGGGGGCTCCACCCCCTTATCGCTCCTCTTCTTCTTAACGGCCGCCTCGGCCTTCGACCCCCGGTCCCCACAGCAGCATGGGCGTCCCCGGCGGAAGGCTCTATGACCTTCGGGAAAAGCGCGTCGTCTGGCTTCTGGCCCGAGGGCCCCTTCTCCTTTGGCTGGGTCTTGCCCTTCCTCTTCGCGAACAGGGCGTTGGCATTCATCCTGCTACCTGCAAAGAACGACAGCAACAAGTTGAAAGGTTAGAACCGAGGGGTCAGAGACACGACAACAAACATGAAAGAAAATCTCTAAGTACAAAAATGTAAAGCCCCCGGCCACTACCTCCTGCTCCCACGAAGGCTTTATCATAGAGGGGATACTTCTCGTCGGTCTCCCCAATGAACCGATACCTCAGGAATCCGAGGGCATGTAGGTCTTCCTCGAGGACGCACTCCTTGATTGTTATGTTCTTATCCCGACCCTCCGGAATCTTGGCAATCTTCAGGCCATCCTTCTCGAGGGCGGCACTCTTGACCTTCACATGGCGCCGAAAGCGATTCCGCAACTCCCTCGGGAAAGGGCTGTCAGCCAGTCTGACATAGCACCATCGCGCTCTCCACCCTTTATTAGAAGAAGGGGCCTCGGTGAACAGTTTGAACTGGGCTATCTGTTGTAAGTTTGCATAGCCCTCGGCGTTTGTATGCCCCCCCGGCATAGGTTGAAGCTTTGGAAGAATAACTCCAAGCTCAGTGTAACCTTCCGGAGTTTGCACAGGTTCACGAACCCCGTTATGTACGAGTGGCTGTTGGGGGTCAGTTGGCAGGGAACCAGGCCAGTGTACCTCAAGTACTCCCGGAGGAAAGGATGGAGAGGGAACCGGAGGCCCATTGAAACCGAGAGCACGTGCACGGCTATACATCCCTCGGGAGGCCGGGACATCACGTCATCAGGACCTGGCTCGACTACTACGGCCGAGGGCCCTACGTGCAACTGGGTGATGTAGATGTCCGCCCTGTTAGCTTGGGACTTAATCTCCAGAGCGGCGGTGTCCAGGAAGGAGTAACCCTCCGGCAGATCTACTGGCCCCCCTTGATCGACGGCCTTTACTTTCTTCTGGGGGCCAGCCTTCGTCTTCCTCCTCTTCTTCCCGGGGGCTACACTTAGAGGCGTCGGGTCCAGTGGCCTCGAGCTACTTGCTTCCCCAGAACCCCGGGGGGAAGAACAGCGACAGTGACCTTTGCCCTCTCCTTTTCCTCCTCCTCTTCAGCAACTTGGACGGCGAGGGCCAACTCTTCATCCTCGGCGGTTCGCTCGAACTCCTCCGCCTCGACCTCGGCCACCAGATCCTTCTGCACCTCGGTGGTGAGAGCTGCATCACCACCACCCGAGGGCTGACTGCTACTGGACTCCATATCGGATATGCTTTCGTCCTGAACCGAGGGGGTCCTCGAGATGTCCTGAGAGTCACTCTGGGACGACATTCTAACTCTAGCTCGAGGGTTCGGGGGAACTAAGGTTTCTAGGGAATTCTATCTCCTAACCCGAGGGCACAATGCACAGCTATACTAGAAGGAGAAAGGCAGGGGGCACTGACCTCGAAAGCTGAGTTTAGGACCGAAGGCTTGAGTTTCTCTCTCTAGAATTTTCGGCAGAGCTTCGCTAAGATAAATGATCGCACAAGAAGGAATGGCCCTGGCCTTGGGGTATTTATAGGCGCTGGAATCCGGGCTTGGGCCCGGAAACCGGGCCTCCGGATGGACGCCATCATTACACACCGCGTCTTCGCCCAACCAGTGACGCCGCCCACGGATAGCCAGCCATCACACGCCACGTGTACCCCCCCAACGGCTATGAACCTGACGTTACATATTCCAACGGCTATAAATCTGACGCTACATATTCCAACGGCTATATTCCCAACGGCTATATTCTGGAAGCCCCCGGGTTTTCTACTTCACTCCACTTCATCGAGGATAGCCTCCGGGTACACTTACCCAGAAGCGCCCCCGGGTTGTGCCCCACACAGCACATAACAGACGCCTTCGGGTTCACTCCTTCAGAAACCCAGGGCTTCATATCAGGGTACCCATCGGGGATTCCCCCTCAGCACTGCAAAACCGGGTAGCCCCCGGGGAGTTGCCTCATTTACGAATAACCCATGGCACACAGGTAATGGGAGCCCTCGGGTATCTTCATCACCAACTAATCAACAAACAGTGGATCCCCCGGTAACAACTCCATTGCCGCCCTCATCCAGCAGGCCCTCGATCCCCGAATTGAGGGGCTCCCCTTCGGCGCCACCAGGACATCAACAGCAAGCCTTCGGCTAATCAACACAGGAGCCCTCAGAAGAGAGAGCCTTCGGCATTCCCGTTATTCTCCATTTTTTACCAAGGTTTGACATTTTCGATTCATCATTGGGGGAATTCGGTGCACTCTTTTTCCCTCATTAGGATTTTTTCCCACAGGGTTTTTCTTAATGAGGTTTTTAACGAGGCATCCCCCCAAAATGAAACGAAAAACGTCAGCCTTCGGCCCACAACAGCAACGCAACTACTCTACTCCTTTTCACCACTTTACAAGTGCCTCAAGGAGTGGGGGACTGGAGGACCCCCTCGGGAAAATCATTAAATTGCAAAATTAGTGAAATTCCAACAAACGACAAGGCAAGCCCTCAAGTCCCGACATGTGGGTAACTGAGGGACTGCCTTCGGCAGGGACATAAAAGGAACAACTCCTCACCAACTTCAGAGATCACGACGGGACAACATCAAAGGGCAAGCACAAATTACTCCTTTTCCCTCAAGTACCTTTCGGCAAAAGGAGTGAGGGACTCCTGATGGAGTATATGGCCCGGGAACCCCCGGCCCACAGACTCCTACTACTCCAGCGAAGGCCCAACAGGCCCAGAAGGCCCAACAGGCCCAAATCACAGCGCCCAGAGTACCAAGCAGCCCGCACTACACGCCAGGGGTGCCTTCGGCCAGGGGGCCGAAGGCTCTAAACTCTCACAGAACAGGTTTCTCAAGCAAACTAAGAAACTGGGAGAAAACGGCGAAAACAGTAGCCCTCGGCACTGTGAGCCCTCGGCACCAGGGTGCCATCGGTTGGAGGAGCCCTCAGCTACTGCTCTATAGCCGAAGACATCTCACTCGACAAGATATCCGCCTCACATGCGTACAGATCACCGTACCCTGTACAGGCGTCCCATCCAACAGCCGCATTAAATGCGGCCACATGCGGCTGCCAGCGCCAACCAGTTGAGGTGACCCCTCGGCCAATGAGCGCTTGACACGTGTCCCTGTCCGACATTTATTGCTACTATAAATAGCACCCCATTTCCCCATTTGTAACCACGCTGAAAACGGCATTCATACTGAATACACTCTCTCTCTACATTTACTTACTCGCTCTGACTTCTCTCTAAGTTATTCCCCGTAATAACCCTTCGGATATATACCCCCGGGTAGACCATCCATCACTTGGGTACTCACTTTTTGTGTACACACCTTTTACACATGTCTGTGTAAGGTTTTTTTGTCTGTACAGACAAAACGTATTTGACATCAAATACATTTTGTCTGTAAAGACAAAAAAAAACCTTACACAGACATGTGTAAAAGGTGTGTACACAAAAAAGTGTGTACCTTTAGAACTTTTTAAACGTCTATCTGACCATCTCTTTGTCCAGCCAGCACATAGCTAGGCGAAATAGCCAACAAATAAACGACGACCCCCGATTCGTTCTTTCTGCATGTGTTTTTGTTTTGTTGTTTTATGTTTAATTAATTGAAATTTCTAAAAATGAATAAATTTACCTAAAAGATCGATATTTCAATAGATTTTATGTATCTGCAATATAGAATATGTACGTAGTATATTATGATAAAGTGCAGCTAAGCTTGTGACTAGTTGATCGAGTGTAAATTAAAATGAGAAGACGACATGTTTTCTAATAGTTTTAACACTACTTAAATATTACAAACATGTAATTCGTCCAATGGAAGGAAGATTACGCTAATGATATTTTCATTAAAGCGGTTGACACCATGAGAATGGAAGGCCGGGATCGGGGCATATAGTTTCTTCCTAGCTAGTAATAATATTAGGTGTACATGACGAGTTAAAGGGACTTATTATCTTCTTGTATTAATCATTAAGGGTAATTTGGATACAACAACAACAACATCCAAGCCTTAGTCCCAAAAGATATTGGGGTCGGCTAACATGAATCGATACATGATATCACAACCAAAAGGAAAAGAAGGAATAAAGATAAAAAGATAAGCTATTATGAAAAGATAATATAAAAAAAGATGAATAAATATAAAAATGATAAAATAAAAATGCTGCAAATAATGCTTATATATATAAGGATAAAAAAACTAGGAAAAAAAAGATGAGGGAAAAAGATTATCAAGATCACTCCTTCACGTGAATACCCGCCCTCCACTTAGTTCTCTTCAAAGTCATGCTCTCATCCAACCCCAGAAGAAGCATATCACTTCGAACTCCCCTAACCCACGTCTGTTTGGGTCTTCCTCTCCCTCTCTTCCCTGCCTCTTTTTCACACATCTCAACTCGCCTAACAGATGCATCACTCAGTCTTCTACGCACATGACCAAACCACCGTAGGCGCGACTCTCGCATCTTGTCTTCAATAGGTGCTACTCACACCCTTTGTCTGATTATCTCATTCCTCACGCGTTCCTTCCTAGTATGCCCACACATCCAACACATAAATCCTAAACGTAAAACTTTATATCATATTATACCTCTTTAATAAATGAACAAATAAACGATCAAAAAAATAAATAAATGAACAAATAAAAAAGTAAAAAACCTTTCAAACGTGCCAAACTTGAAAAAAATACTCCCTGTTACGGAGTAAAATTTTAAAAGAAAACAAGTTCGTAACTTTTTGAATTTAATACTCCCTCCGTTCCTAAAAATTCTTCCCGATTTGACTTGGCACGCTTATTAAGAAAGTGGAATAAAGTGGAAATGTATGGTTGTGATTGTGTAAGAAAAAGGTAAAATGAATGTGAGCCACACAAATTGTTCAAAATGGGAAAATGAGAAGTATTTTTGGGAACAGCAAAGTGGGAAGTATTTTTGGGAACGGAAGGAGTAAAACAAGAAGCGAATGTTTTTAAGACTAGCTACATGGGCCCACGTAAAGCACTACCAATCCAAGAAATTCTTGGACGGAAGAAACCGCTGTAATTTCCGGCATTGTTGGACCTCATGCCCGGAAAAATCGCAAAACCGGCCGATAACACCATTCGACTGGGGGTTCTTGGACTGACCATGACCGTGTCCACCACGACCACGTCGAGCATGATGACCCCGGCGATCAGTGGGCAAAGGGGAGTCAAACGAGCGTCCTGGAGCATGCGTGTAGTGGACTGTGGGTACAAGATTTGCACCGACGACGACGTACCTGCTTCCTGGAGTTTTTGTTCATGCTCCAGTAAGATATCCTGAAGTTCCGCAAGGTGTGTTGCCGAGCGAAGTTCACCATAATCCGGACAAGGCCATTGAGGGAGGATGTTGATGACTAGAGCCAATGGCTCAGAAATGGCGTACATTTCAGCAACGTATTCGGTGATAGAGCGGCCCCCTTTTGTAGTCCGAGAGAGAGCAGTTTTGAGGGAGATGATTCTGGCTCGGGATGTACTCGCATAGGTGAGGGAGAGCTTGTCCCAAGCTTGCTTTGCCGTCGTGATGGACGAGATCAAAGGTTGAATGTCATCGGCACAACTACCAAGCAAATTCTAAAATTCTAGGTTCGGAGAGTGGGAACTTGTGATGGAGTATATTACGGAGTATCACATACCTAGTGCCTAATTAAAGACAATGTCCACTCAAGGAAGCCTAGCTGACCCAACTATCGAAGTCAAAAACACTTAACCAAGGTTGAGGCCCGTGATTGGTGCCCGACGCATTAAGGGAGAGGTCCATACATTAATGGTGTCCATGCCAACACTCAAGGTAAAAGCCTTATTTTTCATACTCCGTACTTTTTAGTAATTTCAAAACATTTTTGCCTTACTTTACATTTTTTATTTATAATTTTTAGGTTTTTTATTATTTTAAATATTTTAATCCTTTTTATTAAACTTTCATTTTTTTTATATTTTGAAAGATTCTATTTTTATATAATTTATATAATATATTTCAAAATAATTCACTAAAGTTGTATTTAATTTCATTTTACAATTTTTCCACGTTTTCAACTAATTTTAACTTTTACATTTTTTTCTAATTCTGTATTCCTAATTTTTCTATACATTTATTTTAAATATATCTGATTTTCTTTTTTCTAACTTTAAGTTACTTTTCTATGATTTTTAAAATTTGATTTACAAGTTTCCATTTTATCCTTTCTTATAATGCATATTTTCTAAATTATAATTGAATTTGAATATTGTTGCATTTAGGAATCTAAACCTTGTTAAGATCGAGTTAAAACATACTTAATTCAAGTATGAGAGGCTTATATAAGTAGCCAATTTGTAAAAAGAAACTTTAAATGATCTATTTTTGAAAAAAAACCTTTGAGTGAATAAGTGATATGATTATTTTAATTTTTAAGCTTATATGTGAAAAACTATCGTATTTAAAAACCTATGAGTCTACGCAAAAAAGTTGCGGCTATTCCCTCTTTAATGCATGGCTTGTTTCTCCACCAAACTTATTCGTGCGACTTTTTTTTTCTTTCTAATTTTGATTTCGTCTTTGGATTTGTTGTGTCTTGGGCGAGGCTTGTACGTTTAACGGTTTAGGATTTGACTTTTCTTTGGGTGCTCGGAGGCGATTCACAATAGTCTAGGGATATTATTGTACTTTACATTTACATTTACAACTCTTTATTATAAATAGAACTATCGAGGCTCCTTAGCAGGTAATATGTTCCATTATTTCACATGGTATCACGAGTACAAGGAAAAATCTAAAAAAATGCCGTTTTCTTCTTCTATATTTCGTTCATGCGCTATCATTGTAATACTTGAGATTTAATTTACACAGATTAATACTACCACTCATACCAACAAGGTGCATCTCCTTTTAAGGGAGCTCATTAGCCAAGAACTCCAAAGTTAAGCGTGCTTGCACGGGAGTAGTCTTGGGATGGGTGACCCACTGGGAAGTTTCTCAGGGCGCGCACGAGTGAGGACAAAGTGCGCGGAAAAGGCTAGTGACGGTTTGTGAGGACAATATTAGATGTCTGGAGTATCTGCCTCGGGTCCTGGGGGCCGGGGTGTTACTATCATGCAACCCAACACCACTGCCATGACTACGGCAGCCCTTCCTTCCTCCATGGCAGCATCACCTGTCATTACGCGCCCTACACCTACCAGTGTAGCACCACCTTTTTCCATGGGTGTACCCTCCTCTCCCGTGTTGCAACAAGTTAATTCCTCTTTAAGTCTCCTCCGGCGGCTTTACCATGTCTGTCACGCCGCGTTTACCAGCCCGATTCTCTTTACCGTGTTTGAAAATCTGCCCCCCGGTTCTCATGGACACCGCCTTCGTGTGTTGCTCCTGTTACACTGGAGCCACCTCCAGTCATGACGATGGCCATGCCCTCCTTTGTGAGTGGGTAGTATATGGGACCCACCTTTGCCGGCTCTTCGAGCTCTTCTTCTTCTACTTCTCCGCTTACAATTGGACACACTGCAGCCTCGATTGCTTCTCCTATGATAGCTCTCGCGCATAGTATCTCACATGTCTCTACCAATGTCACACACATTGTGACCACAAAGCTACATTGTCACGCCCCGGACCTATCCGGACACCTCAACAACCCGCCGTACAATACGAATAGTCAACCGCAGTATAACACATCGATATTATACAAGGGGTCTCGAATATCATTCACACATAAGTCATCCATAAACATACATAATAAGCAATTTAATACGCAGCGGAAAATATAGTTTTAAAAAAAATGCCACACGGGGCAAGCATGAGCACGCAGGCTCTATAGTGAAAATATACATGAGCATGTTTTATAAATGTTCAAAACAGAATGGAGGAAGCACGAACTAAGTCTTCACTCCAAGATGGTCGCCCGAGCAACGAGCACAAGTAGCAAGCTCTAGCGTCAACCTGAAATGGTGGTGGGACACCCCCCGAAAGGGGGTCAGTACTCTATACGGCTATAAAGTACTAGTGTGGATGGCATCTAATAGATATACAACAAGTATTTCAAACACAAGACCCTCAAATAGGGTGATAATATAAGCTACGCCGTAACCCAAGTTACCCCTTTTCAAAATATACTTACTTTATATATAAAGTCAAGTAGTCGGCCCGTAGGCCCAAGGTTTGTAAGCAACTAGATGTCGATCCTCACCTTAAATGAGCTTTAAACCTTTCCTTCTCAATCCAATGATCAAAGCTTCGGAAAAGGAAGTTTGAGAACTGATTCCTTGCTTAGAATTGATTGTTGAACAGCCTACTCAAGGTGCTAGCTCAACACTTATCCAATGACACAAAAACAGCCCCTAGAATGAGTGTTTTTCGACGAAAACGTTTCCTAACTTTTCAAGGTTTGTTCTAGGTTAGTATCTAACCTTTACAACAAATAAAGTAACTTCACAACAACACTTTATACACTTGAAAAGGTGTATAATATTTCTTCAATCATTTAAATGATTTAGACAATAGAATGAAAGTTTTGGATTCAAACTTACTTTGAATACAAAAACGTATTCTGCGAGGTTGTGTTTTGTTCGGACGATTTGGAGGCCTTAAACCGCTCCAATTGATTCAAAACACACCTCTATGGATTTCTTATCTTGAGAGGTTTCTTTTAGCACCTAACACTCCTTAATTAGATGAGTATTTCTCAAGATACGAACCAAACAATGAAATCCACGAACCGGAATGAATTCCTGCGGCCAGCTCCCTTTTTCTTGGTTGAGTTGTGTGGCTCCTCTCTCTCCCCTTATCCTTGGTTTTCGAATGGAGGTTGTGATAAGTATTAAGGAGCTCTAAAATTATGATATCCAATCATGTGGCTCACAAAAAAAGGGGTAGGACGTTTGATTGCAATCAAACATGGGATGGTCCTCCCTTTTTATTTCTTTTTGTATTGTTTGAGCTCTCAACTCAATAGGTCCACCCATTTATGTGTTCTAACTTATTCTCCTGGATTTTCAGGTTCTAGGAAGGTGTGGGGCGAACTCTTATGTCCCCAAATTAATTTGTGAGCAAAATATCCATCAATATTTCCAAAAGTGGAAAGATGGGTCCTATTGTTTTTGTCTTTTGTCATAAGATGCACTTTTTGTACTCATCCTCATTTATTTAGATCAAGTCAACCTTCTACATCATATTATTGATCTCTAATATGTGTAGGATGGTCCCAATAATTTATATGATGTATAATTATAAAAGAAATTCCTACTCCCATTATTTAGTGTTGGGCCGCGGGTATGCGGTGCCAGCAACAGCCAGTCTGCCGGTGCAATCGGACCGCGTGGCGCTTCGCTTGTGCTATAAAGGGGGAGGAGCGTGCTTCACTATCAGCGATTGCTTTTAGTGTAACGGTAAGCGCAACGATCCACAAGTGGTATCAGAGCCAAGGTCACAGGTTCGACCCCCGGCAACAGCATGCTGCGCAGTTGTAGGCTGGCAGGTGCTGGTGGGGAGATTGTTGGGCCGCGGGTATGCGGTGCCAGCAACAGCCAGCCCGCCGGTGCAATCGGACCGCGTGGCGCTTCGCTTGTGCTATAAAGGGGGAGGAGCGTGCTTCACTATCAGCGATTGCTTTTAGTGTAGCGGTAAGCGCAACGATCCACATTTAGCTTAATAATGCCAAAGATGGGACCATAGACATTTGTATTCTTCTCCAATCATTTTATCACTTATTTATGACCCTTGAATTTGTAATCCTGGGCTACAAGCCGTGTTGACCATCCTCGAGTGGGTCTAGGACGCCATTCCTGAATAATTACTTTTTTAGCAGGTTAGACCCAAAATAACATTTGGACTGTCCGATCGTTCTTACTTTGTATCAAAGGGTTATATATTTTTATTTAAAGACATTGGACCCGTATATCCATAAGATGGCTGAATTAATTATTTGGAAGTTCATTACTATTATACGAGCCCAAACAATAATATGATTAATCACGCATTACGTAAAACTTTAATCGTTTTACAATTGTTCGATAATAGGGAAATTCAATACACAAGCTTTGAAATTAAATTTGAATTTTATGGACGTTCGGGTGCGGTGTCATATACATGCTGTGGAGGATTATCTCACCTCGAGGACACAATTTGAATCGTTTTTGGCATCTCAGAATCTTCTTGATACGATTGACGACACTATTCAGGTACTTTCTCTTTATTCCATTGACCTGCATAATAGACAAATCTTTAACCCTGAATATTCGTACTGGCTGCATCAAACCATATGTGCTTTGTTATTCGCTACACTGTCTAGAGATGTTTTAGTGGATGTTCATGATCTTAAACACTCAGTTGGGATTTGGGATCGTTTAGAATCACGATTTATTTCTGCGAGTTTAGCACAATCTATGGAACTTAAGACTCGTTTGAATCATCTTAAAAAGAAACCTCATCAGTGTTCCATTATTTCACAATTTAGGCGTGCTCTAGGATCTTGTCGATCACTACCGTTGCTTTGGGACGACACACACAAAGTGATCGACGCTGATTTGGGCTTTGTTTCTTCGCCAATTAGGAAGAAGGTTGATCGCGTTTTTCGGCGCTCAAGCGGTATAGGGATGGAGGGTGTTGTAGCAGGGGGGAAGCTGGGTATGATTAGCATATACACGGCGATCATATCAGGAGGCGACACGGGTGACGAGCAGAAAAAGAGCGGTGAAGGGCTGAACATGGGAGAAGACAGGTCGATGGGCTGCCCCCCTCCTGAATCGCCACATTGGAGCGATCGAGGTGCCATGTTTTGGAAGATGATGTTTCAAGAAAATTGGAAGGAAGGTGTTTGAAGTTTTTATCGGTTATTTTATTTCTTATGGTCTTATTTTCGCGTTATGCATGTTTACGTTGCTCTGTTTTTTGTTGATGTCTTTAGTTTCAAGCCAGTAATAATGATCGACAATTCTGCTAGCTAATTAATATGTCCTTAGAAGAATCTATATGGCTAGTGATCGTTGTGTCACACCCATTTGGTTATTACTGATTCGTATTTCTCTTTCAGGAGGTGATCGTTTCTATGTCTAGACGTAGGATTGATA